GCATTAATCCGTGACAATCTAAATTTTCCTACGAAAGTGCAGTTTTAACGGTCCATGAAACCACTGCCTTCGTCTGTTCCATCCTAAAGTCTCACAAACCTTAACAGGCCATCGGACATACTACTGTTTACAGGAATAATATTAATTATTCAAATAACGCTAAATGTATGACTCATCTTCCAGAAACCTATCGTGTCGTTCTGCATACATATATTAAACTTCCATCCGACAAGAACTGCTACCATAAACCTAATCGATACACGTCAAATTTTATACTTTATATTTGCATGCCACATTTCTCTTTCTCGTGTGTGCTACTAAACTTTGAAAAACCCTAAAGATTGCCTAGATTTCTTTCTCCGTCCAGCAGCAATACAACTTAGTTGTCGAAGACTTATAATCTGCTGCAACCAAGATTATATCATGAGCATGTTCCAGACTAGTGAGCCCTCCGCTGTCTATCCAGAAAGTGCCTTCAAAACCTCTAAAATTCATTTGGATTTTACATTACACTACGCCGTTCTCGTATTACTGTTTTTGTAACTTACAACCATTCACGAATACGTAGCCATCAGTGATTACTAGGGATAAAACTGGTATTGAAATATTTCTTAAACATGGTCACGATGGAAACAATCAATAACCTTCAAATTTATACATCTACAAGTGAGACGTCAAATACTAACACGTTATGAAGTGAAAACAGACCGTATAACTCTTTCTTTCAAGGTGTTTGTCTAGCCTTCAACTTGCAAGATTATAATAACATCTTACGGTCTACAGATTCCGATCCATGTACCGTCCAGATACAAACAATATTTTCAGCAACTTTAAAAAACTCGGAGCATTTTTTGTATAAAGAATTTACAGAAAAGGATAAGCAGATCAAGTCTCAAAAAATGGAATTAACAGCTGGATTAATCAGAAACTAGGTATCAAAACTCCAAGTTTTACAGTGATAACACAAAACTGTCGGTCACAAACCTGTCATTTTTCACTTTAGTAAGGGAGCGGAAACTTATTGTCTTAGCTTCTTCCTGGTAAACCAATGGACCCTGGAAAAGTTTCAGAATAAGCAAAAGTAATCTAATCAATAAGTAGTGAGTGAAACCAATACTGGCAACTAAGGTATTGTTTTGGTACCTTCCTCGATTTATGATTATCTTAGCAAGCATTACAAAAAATTAAAAACATTAAACATCACAATGTTGCTTACAACATGTATCAAACAAAACTCTACATGAATTTTAAAGCATACCTTAAAACTAACGTATGAAACGGCACTCAAACATGAACAAAAAAACGCATAGCTGTGAGTCATGATGCACTCGGAGAAACGCTTAAAGATGTAGTTTTCATTTACACTATCCGCACCTCAGAAAGGTTAGTCAACTACGCACTTCGAATGGCTGTTTACATAAGAAATAGGAAATACAGGCAGCAAGCAGAGCATCGTACGAAAACAACAAGACAAAAGAAATATTTATGGATCAGTAATCACATACACAAAATTAAATATTTACCGTCAGTCGAATTATGGTCACGTTTATTATCCAGATTTATTAGAGTTGGGTCCACATTCTACAGTAACTTACTGATTAGCAAGTTACCACTATTTGTATCATCGTCACCTTTCGAAGAAATCGAGACCCTTAAGCGTGCTGAAATGTTGATAAATGAACAATGTAATGAAACAATTTTTTGATAAATAAATGAAGAACAATTACTGGCACGCTAGGTAATAAGTGGGAACAGTGGTGATAAAGCAAAAAAAAATAAAAATGGACAGAATTTTAGGCGAACACACTCGATCATGTTGATTGAAAGTGCAATCTTTCTCATATCTACAAATCTCCCTGCAAAAAAAATTTTTTTCCCTTTCGACCGAGGTTGCCTAGTCGGTAGTAAGTCTGACTAAAATTGAAAGATCCGAGTTAGAGCCTCAGTTCTGGGTCACTGACTTTTGCGAGATTGATATTTAGATAAGACAGATTGCCATATAACTACAGTAGACTTCGTTCTTGAAGTAAGGTACTTAGTACTTATGGACGATGGTTTGAAGATGTTAATCGTTCTCACGTCATTAACTTTATGAAAAGAAGCATATCAGGAATGTTTTCATAGTGAAAGTATTTGGAAAAGCCAACATTTTAACGGTTGTAGGCGCATTTTTACTTTTGTCTACATAATGGAAGTCAGTAACAGATTAAGAACAGCATCATTAGCAAAGCATCGCAGAGAAGAAGAAACAAACCGTTCAACTTTTTGAGTAACCATAAATGGATAGATGGACAATAAAATCACAATGGAAGATGCATATAGGGCACTATTCGGAAAATGTGCAGAAGTAGCAACAGAATCCAGAATCAGATTTTCGTGTCTCGACCAAGCCTATGATCAACCGAAGTATTTTTTGCATCCGCAGCATGCACATATGACAGCTATATTTATTCACCAAGTCATATTGCTGTCGTCATATTTCGCGACATCTGTATTCTTCATCACCAGTAATTGAATCGCTTAACTATCTAGTAGCGTAGTTAGAATCATGCGGGTGCTTATTAGTCAGATTCGATGTTTATTTTGCAGCTAGCTCGCAAAGTAATGGCTTTCAGTGCACGCCCTAGCTGACAAGTGTTTGCCCTTATTGTTGCATTGTCATTATCATCATCTACGCATAGTTGAAAGGGGATTTTTAAGTCAATCAGGAGAATGACTTGCTACCGCGCTGAGGAACCAGAGTTTATATTCTGTTGCATTAATTTCAGTTCAGATTTCCATGCAATTGTTTTACCGTTGCAGATTATAAATGAACTCTGGAACAATATCCGTCAAACCGCTTTCGTCAGGGCATTTTTGACCGTTCTCTGGGACCTTCTGCCACGAATGGCAAGAATTCTTAATTAAGAAGTATGTTGACGTGAGCAAAAGCATTAGTCACGTTTTCTGTTCTGGAGGCATTCGTTAAACCTGTCCAAACATTCGCAGGTATGACTTCCAAATATGCAAAAACAGTGACTGGCCAGCAAATTCTGAGATTTTAGTGGAGGAAATACCTACTCTGCCAAGAGAAGTGAGTCCAAAAATTCGCCTGAAAAGCATATCTTAGCCCTTCGTATCCGTAATTGCAATTTTTGAGATACTGCCCGAGAGTGATTAAAATATCTAAGCATCGGTTTCAGAAATCGACTTGATCACAAGCAACAGAATGCAGCCTTGCTTGAGATCCATGCGGTTGTTGAACAGCTTTACTTTATGGCATTTGCTTCGAAGCAACACCTTCCCTTAACAAATGACGAGCGGATGGCACATGAAAGCTGGAATTTTCTCATGTTGCTAGGCGAAACCTCCCCAGTAGGCTTTTTCCAGCTCTGTAAAGCACTTGGATGCCGTTTCAGCAAACTCAAACCGTTTCTGAAAAATCTTACGGCGGAAAAGATATTGAGAGATTGCTAGTCGGAACCAGAAGCCACAGAGGTTTTCTTGAACCTAAGAGTCAACTGATCCACGATACCCAGTTTTTAATACCTTTTCTGAGATGGTAGGCTCCGAAATGACACTATCAGTGCCATTTCCATAGATCTTAACTGAAGTGTTATAATGGCATTGAGTTTTCTGCTTCATCTGTTCAAAAGAGGCGACAACTCCGCATCTTACTGCTGCTCTTTTCACCTTTGCAGATTCCTTCAGCAACGGTTTCTGTGCCGCTACAACCGAAACTGCTATAAAGGGTGAAACAGGTTCTTAAAAACGACTGTTCGCAGTTT